AAGGCTTCGCACTAGAAAGTCCCATGCAAAAGAGTTGGTATTCAGTCCATTTATCAGCAAGACATGCTTCAAAGCACAAGCGAAAATCTAAGATTCGGTGCATTGAAAAATAAACTGGGTACCGACGTTTTCGCCCGTCCCGTGTTGCTCGTAATAAAGCGAATGACTTTGAAGAAGCGGTGTCCCAGAGTGAACGGGACAGAAGCCCTTTCTGACCAGACTAGAGGGATCAAACATGGTTGGATATTGTGTCATGTCCGGAGAGTCTTGCAGCAACGGTTCTGTTTCAGAGGCCATGTTGTAAGATGAGCGCAAGTTACAGTTTGCCGGCATTCGGCGTTGCCCGAATATTTGATGGCGATCTGCCGAACTTTGCCGCACTTCCCTTTGTATTGAATCTGGTCTTCAACTTCAAAAACGACAAACGTTCAACACCGGAAAAACTGGACATCCGAGTTGTATTCAAGAAATTGGTGAAGTATTTTGACTTTGGATTCCTCGTGTTGTTGTTTATGTACGTGTTTTGTTTACCGCCAAATCAGGTGATCGTGCATCCGGCGCTTATTCACACTCATCGCGAGTCGTCTGCCTCCATGTCCAGCGAACCAGATACGCGCTGGTCGTTCGCGCCATCCTCATCTCCGCTCTCCTCGCCGACGGCATGCAACGACTCATCGCCCGCATCGTCTCCCGGTCCAGAATACGATGATTCAGCTTCAGTCCAGGACGATTACTTCGGCGGCGGACCGTCTCACGCGTCACCTCCCCAGCATCCCTTTGCGGCGTCCGCCAAGAGTTCGTGGGTTCCTCCACAGTATGAAAAGGGTGCAAAGAAGAATCGCCAGACGTCCCCATCTTCTCCATCGCGTAGTCGCTCAAAAAAGCCTCGTATTCTCGGCCCTGAGGCATCCTTGGAGACTCTCGTGTCATTCCCTGCGCGCGTACCTGCCTCCCAATCCGAGGAAGAGAAAGAGGTCGCGATTTGGGATAAAGCCAGCGATGAGATGGTTGATCTCGGAAATGGGACGGTGATGCTCGAGTGAGTTGAGTTTCATTCTTCGTTCGTCGTTCTAAAACACGCGTACAGAGGTTTCAATTTGTCCAGAATCCCGGACAAGTTTGTGCAAGACTTGTACCATTTCTATGTACCCCCGGAGAAACTCGAGTCCATCAACGCGACTCGACTCCCTCCCGCACCGGTAACGCGGGAATTCAGTCGCTCTATAACTGCGCCTGCCATTTTGGGCTCAGGAGTACCCTTCTCTCGTGTGCCTGACCGTGCCTTGGGCTCCGCGCGTCACAACATCCAATTGTACCTCGCAAGTAACAAGATCTCGAGGGTGCCTGTTGAATTACTATGTCTCGACAAATTGACGGTCCTGAGTCTCAGTGGGTGGTTTTCCAACACGCGTCAAACATATGTTCACCCTAACTGCAGGGAATAACAAGCTCAAAACGTTACCTCCGGAGATCCGGCACTTGAAGAATCTCCATACGCTGAATGTAGCGAACAATCAACTGGAATACCTGCCGGCTGAAATGCTGGATATGACATTGCAGGTGCTCAATGTCTTTCCAAACCGCTTCAAGAAACACCCTCAGGCAGAACGTTCGCTATCATCGAAGCGGCCCTTCGATCGCGCCACATCCCAACGGCGCATCGGAATCTCCCCAACATCCCGCAATTCACAGCGTGTCCCCTCTCTCGTGGAGCTTTCCCTCCGCTTGCTTTTCTCGACGGATTCTGGGCTGGCAGACACGACAAATTACGTGGAGCGCCGCATCGAAAAATATTACGAGCTTCCTCTGTGCGAGGCTGATGTCGGCCTTGGCTCGTCCTGCTCTGGCAAAAAAGAGTTTCGGCAAGTGGTCCCACCGCACCTCCGACGCGTCTTGGACGCTATTCATCCCGGTAGCGTGGACGTAGACGCCCCGCCCGATGATGATCCACCCAGCCTCGGCTTGTGTCCTGCCCCGCACCACGTCCACGGAGCATCCGTGTTCGTGACTCCGGCCGAAGAACGATACACGTGGGAGACGGTCGTCGCGGGCGTCGCCGTGGGTGGCGGCGTCCCTCTGAAATGGCGAGGCTGCCTGTGGGGATGTTTGGACTTTTTGGGGGCCGGGATGGAGACAGAGCCGGAGACGCCCAATGCGGAAGTGACGGAGATGGAGGTCGAGGGGGAGCAAGACGCGGTCACTCGCGTGCAGTTGAGGTCGGACGGATTTGGTATGGATGATTTCGAGGATGATGGATAATGATAGTTTGGTTCGATGCTTTAATTTTTGACAAGTTCCAGGCCACTTCCGATTTGACCGCACGAAGAAGCCTTTCGATGTAACTCAACCGGCATCAAGAAAACTCAAGATCGAACTCTTTGCATCAACTGTCAGCATCCAAGAGAAAAAACATAAGTTCAAATCTCCTTTCGACTTGGTACAATCCAACTATATAACTCAATTCACTCTCGGCATTCAAGGAAAACACCAGATGGCATCTCCTTTCGACTTGGTGCACTTTAAACACCGAGAAAAACAAGTTCGAATCTCCGGTGCGATTTTGCCAAGAATGTCCTGAACGGATGCGCGAGAAAATGCTTGATGGTACATCTATCGAACGGCGCCCGAGAAAGAAACCGGGTAGTAAATTCAAAAACCCTTTGCCATAAAAAGCTGATCACTAAATTGAACAGTTCTCGAAAATACTTTGTGCTACATCGAACAGCCCACGTTCTGCGAGAAAATACCTGGTATTCACATGGCATTCCCTGCTGCACCAGAAAATACTTGAGAACATCTCAAATGACCCTCGCTCTCGGAGACGACAAAATTACTTGGTACCGTCTTTCTTTGCGAAAAAAATCCCAACAGAATTACACGGCCCTCTCTGCGAGCAAGTGCTGTACCATTTCGACCGAAGGTTCAGGTTCAGGTGACACCCGAGATGTTTTGATGTGTGCAAAAATCGCCTTTAATCGAAAGAAAATTTATCGCCCATCCCGGACATCCAAAAATTGTGAACCTTCGTACAGTACCTGATATTATCTGCGACTGCCTTCCCGGCCACACTAGGTACCCGGTCACTTGCATAATATAAGGCGTTGCGATGCTGAAACCAGGGATTTGGCCTTTGTGGGATGGAGCCCAGCCTACAAGGACACTGTATGTCAAAATTTAAGCCGAAGTGATGCGAAACTATGGGAGGTTTTTTATCAAGATGCCGGTGTGTGAACATCATTTCTTATCTCCGAACAGCCCTCGCCCTCGTCTTTTGCCTTTTTCTCCACCAATTCTTCACTGATTTACAGGTTTGGGGGTTGATTTTCATCCCTTCATTCGGGGAATGAATTAGCTGCATACTATACCCGAAATAAATTCTCTCTCGCCTCGTGGATCTGTCAAGAACATCTCTACCTGATCACAAGTGGTCCAATCCAGCCACCTCTCTACTGAACAACGCCTCTTTGCGACGGACTTGGGAATTAGTCTGTGTATTCTCAATATCTCACCCAGCATTCTTACACACTGATTCAGATTTTAGGTGTCCGACTTCTCCTTCATGGCCGGCCATTACCCCAAACCACGTGTAAAGGTGGAATTTCTTGGAGGCGTTATGAGTATGCAGGAGACGTATTTTGGTAATAGTTGTGTCCTAATACATCCTGTGGAGTCTGTTGCCTCTTAATTTGGGTCCTCAATACATTCTAGTCCACACCACCCTTTCCTTTCACCCATTCTATTTGGCTTAAAGGGAAATTATTATATACCTCAGATGTACCAGGTGAGTGTATATAATCATGTATTCATATCCCTTGGATTATTTGGACTGCACACGGGTGAAGACAATGAGTGGAAAGGAACAAAATAGCTGGGTGGCCGACTACTTTTGGGATACCGCCGAAAAGTAAATTCGGTGAGCCGTGGAATCGTCATGTAAATGTCTGGAATCACTCCTAAGATGTATGCCTTTGGCTCAGAGCCCATAAACCCGTACCTACAGGCCTATAAGAGTGGGGTTGAGGTCAAACATCCTAGTACCCAGTCGCGGATAATACTTGGATTGAACAACCCTGGCTGGGTCAATAGTAAAATTTCAGCGATGGGTCAACGGACCGCAAAGTGTCTATAGACTAGGTCGGACTACGGCCAGGGCATTTTATGTTGACTTGGTGCTTTGGAACAAGATTTTTGAGAGAGCGCAAGAACACGAAAATTCACAAGGTCAACTTTGATCGCGACTTGGTCGATCTTTTTAGGGGCCACGGGACACCACGAGGACGACCCCTCGGTCCCCACTTGGAGTTCAGTTGCCGAGCCCAAGTCTCAAGATGAATTCGCCTAGCCCTCGCTCTCGCGAGAACACACTTGGCATTTAACGTGACGGCCATAGAATACTTTGAGAAAGACTGTGCATTGTCGAGCGTACATGGTCGTCCGCTGGTACAAATCGCGTCTGATCACGTGGCCGTTCCTTTACAAAGATGTAGACGCGTCGCGGCTCCCCTCATAACCCTGCTCGAATTTTTGCGTTTCTTGCCCAGGCTCCTGCCCTTCCACTCTAGCAACATCATGGATCTTCTGGGAAATTTTCTCTCTCAAGTTCTTTTCGTCCCATTTCGATCTCGACTTTCCTCTTGACCTCAAACATCAATGCGAGGCATCAGTCTGGCATCCAACAATTCACTCAAAACAACTCCATTTCCTCTTTTTCCCCGCACCAATGGTGAAGCGGCCAGTCCATCAATTTGGCATCAAATTGATCAATCAAGCAAATCTCACTCAAATCTCACTCAAACAACTCCATTCTTTCAACCTCCTACATCCTCGATCCTCCTCCTCCCTCTCTACCATCACATGCATCACACCCATGTCCATTTCCGATCAGCACATCAAATTTTCCATCAATCAAGCAAATCTCACTATAAAATCATTCAAACCACTTGATTCTTCCAACCTCCGGCACCCGCCTCCTAGCCTTCTTCCCTGAAGACCTCCGCAATACACCAATGGTGAAGCGGTTATCATGCTTGCCTTCCATGCTTACGTAAGGGTTATTGATTTATCCGCTACACCGTAATCGTGTCAGCAAGCGGCAGGGGTTCGACTCCCCTTTGGTGTATATCTTTTGTTCTGGAGCGTGCGGACTATTTTTTCTGTACAGGGGAAGTCGCCGAATTGCCCTAACACCCAGACAGCCATTTACTTCGTTCCATAGATTGTCCAGTGTAATCCAGTCATTGCAGTAAGATCATTGATGTGATAGGATACAACGGCCGAGTCTGAGTTCTCTCCCCTGTGTTGGAGGCAAGAAACAGCAGGTGAGAGTGGGAGTGAGAGTGAGAGCACAGGGCACGATTTGAGAGCGAATTGGAAGCAAGTACAATAGCGCAGGAGAAGATCTTTCGAGATCGGTAGCCAAGTGTTCGAGGGCACGGAAATTGTCCTCGGGGCCCGGGGAACAACATGAGATCGCAAGCATATACCGCTGGGAACTAGAAGTCAGGGCCCGGGGACAAGGTTCCAAAGAACTTAGCAGCAAGCACAGAAAATAAGACTGCGCGAGGGTACGGTATGAGAATACTTCGGGGAATGCCTCTCGAAGCTACGAAAGGTCGGGACAAAAGAATGACCGACAACCCCGAGAAGGGAGGCGAAGACAGCGAACCAGTACCAACCACGAAGTCCGAAGTACGCGAATAAATTGCTTCAGATTAATCACATCGAGTGCGCGAAACGACGACGAAAGCAAAAAATATGAATTATATTGCAAGCAGAGATTTGAAATTGACAGCTAGTAGACGACCTCTGCCAGAGGGCAAGTAAAGTGACTATCAGGAGTCTGAGCGACGATTGACTGCCGGGCATGAATGAATGATTCAATCCAGTTAATTTAATTACATAGGCGGCGAGCACTGAGCGGACGCTAGTAGAACCTTGGACCAGACGCAGCTCGAAGTGGAGGCCGGCGAGGGAAGTGAGAGAGGGACGTTGTCTGAGCGTCGTGCTTGTGTTGAACAAGGCGTCGTGAGCGATCAATTCATCAACTGCTAGTGAGATCGGTACTTTCCAAAAGCGGACAAGCAATTACTCTCAACTTTGTCTTCATCGTTTCCTTTGTTCCCCTTCATCGTGGGACCAAGCTAAAATGCGGCGGCATTTCGGAGCTTCCCCAGCTACTCACTATCAGAGCCATGCAGATGCCCTTCAGCTTTTCATACCTTATATTCACCCCCAAACATGTGCGTCTACCAGGTGAAGGCCAACTCCAGCAGCCGATTCGAGCCAAGGCCACTTCGTAGAAACCTTCCTATTGTCGTCCGAATTACCCTTATCGATAGCGCAGGACTCCATCTCGTTGGCCTGCTCGCCTTGTAGCCGGGACCAAAACTCTCAGATCCTTTAGGTCTATCCGAAGGCTGCGCGGCTCGGCCTCTTCGCCTCCAGGAGATTTCGGGAATGGACCTGATACTGACATGCAATAAGCCGCAAGGTTTTTCAATACATATTGGTCGAGGGCGGCGTTCTGATAGTTGATTCAGATCACAGGCTTAACACGACATGCACTTCATCCATCCTCGCTATGAAGAACAAGGTTTCAAAAAGCAAGGAATTACATAAGATACAGGCGAGAAAATGCTAGGGAACCGTGGGTGGAGGAGCAAAGATAAATATGCAGTGAGAATTGTACGATGTGGTGAAAAACACGAGAAAAATTGACCAAATCATGGTTCGGCTGAACCAAATGTACCCATCTCAGTCACCCCGCCCCCGGTGAACATGGCCTTCAGGGTCTGCTCGTTTCTCTTCTGTCTCACCCGCTCGGCCTCTTCCGCCCCTCCAGTCATCTTGAGCTTCTTCCCGGAAACAAAATCGGTCAACTCCGCCTGCATTTCATCCGACCTGCTTGCGAGCTCCTTCTCCCTACTCTTCTGGCTCGCTTCTATAGCCTTCATTCGTCTTTCAGGATCCACAGACGCGCCTCGGATCTCCAGCATCACGGTGCTCAACCCGCCATGGCCTTCTTCTGGAGGCGCGGGGCGGAATCCCTTTCTTCCACCACGGCTGCCTACAGACCCAGGACCCCGAATGCTGATGATCTTTTCCACATGGCCGTACACCTCGACCAGAGCCTTGTGGTCCTCCAGTAAGTCCTCGAGGAACTGTTCCTGGTGAGTGAGGAACCCCTGCTCGTCGACGATGTTCTGCAGCTCCTCCTCCCAAGTCTTCTTCCACATCGGCTTGATCGTATCGATGTGCTCCTTCAAGCTCTGCAACTCCGTCGCAACAGAGTCGATATCCTTCTTGATGGTTCGGAAGTACTGAGCTTTGGGGGATTGATTTGGCGTTTGATCACGTCGTCCTTCACACCCTCGACGGTGTCCTGGAGTTTCTCCACCTCCGTCAAAACGTTCTGGCTCCGCATATCCAGCTTCTTCTTTCCCGTGTCAATGTATCCCCTAGCCCCACCAACGCTGGTGTTCGCAAGCTGCTTGACGGACTGCGTCTGTCCACGAAGCGTACCCAGCGATTCCTTGGTGGACTTCATAAACTCAGTATACAGCTGCCGCATAATCCCCAAATCGCGTCGCAGGTTCTGCACCTCGTCGAATTGGGTTTTCAGATCCGTAACGACTCGCGAGGAATAATCGGACAACATGGACCCGCCGGTCATTTGAGGCTGCAGGGACTGACCCGTCATCTGAGGCTGCATCGGCATAGGGGCAGTAGGCGCCGTGAAAGAAGAGCCGTCTCCGACAAATCGAGAGAGTCGGCGGGCGACGTTTTGGAACTGGCGGTCGGTCGGTCTGTTCGGCGCAGGAGTGCTCTCTGCTAACGGTTGCCCGACAATGCTAGGCGCATGTATAGATTGCCTGTTGTTGTGAACGGCCGTCTTGAGTTCCTTAATGTCCTGCGACAGATTCGAAATCTGAGCGTCGATGTGCTGTTTGATCTGGTCAAGTGCTAGAAATCATACAGGATCAGGGACGACAATACGAGCTCTGAAAGGATAACGTACGCTCGATGTTCAGAGACAGTAGACACTTTTCTTTAACCTCCTCCACGTCTTCTAGCTCATACTGCACTCCACTTGCCGGATCACGAATATAAATGGCAGGGAAGTTTTCAAGCCCCGGATTGTACGAGAACTTGTCAACGAATAATACCCGAAGCGACGCAAACGATAGTTTGTGGTCAATCGTCACTTTCTTGACTTCTCTCCCAAGTTGTAAGAAAACAATGAATCGAGAGAGATCCTGCGTTGGTTCTGCCCCAGGAACATTAACGACGGGTTCAGGAAGACTCGACGCTGCGGGAATCACAGGCTCAGGTGTCCGCGCTGGAGTCGCAGGAAGCGGGGGTACGGGAGGCGTGCCAGCTTGGCGTCGATCAGATGTAGCGGGACTCGTACGAGACCTCGAGTTAGTCCTCTGAACAGGAGCAGGTGCCTCCTCGTCGTCCACCTCAGTAAGCACGGCGAGATCTCCGGGGGTTAAAGCCGATGAAGCAGCCAACGACCTTGGCCTGTTCGAAGAACCAGCTCCGGTTCGCGTGGATCGCTCCCGCGTCGGGGCACTGCCACCAGTCATAATTTTCGACATGTTGTAGGTCGAAAAACGCTTGGACGCTCTACGTTCCAACGTGTCACTCTTCTTAAGAGCAGCAAGGGAGTTTGCCATCGCAGGCCCTTGAAGAGCATCTACAGGCGGTGTATCCGGGGGAGGCGTCGAACCGTTGACTCGGTCGACCCGGTCAGGATCTGGACTTGGACTTGAGGGTTCCACCACTACCGCAGGGGTGCCGAGGGGTTTATCGACTAATGAGTATCGCTTTACGCTGGCTGGAACATTTGGTACGGGAGGGGGCATTATTGTTTGATCGTTCGGGGAGTTGGAAGGATATTGTTCTGTGTCCGCGGGAGGCGGGTCAATGGGAGGGGGGACCGTTCGTGCCTTCCGAGATTGGGAATCGGCCTGGAAATATTCCGACTGAGGATTTGACTCTGGGACCGTGATGGTGGGCGCAAAACCTCCGACAAATGGCTGTTCCCCATTCATCAAGGGTGAGCCATTGAGGGAGGGTGAGCCGGGATCCCTTCGTCTACTGGACTGCTGCGCACTCCTACGCGAGGAAGCGCTGTCCCTGTCCCGCAGATTGGAGGTTGGTGTTGGAGGAGTATCACTCTCGCCGTTTGTAGACCGAGAGAGCTGGGACCGATGAGAACCCTCCCGACGTGAACGAGAGGACCGACTCTCCGCTCGTTCGGATCCAGACTCAGAACGATGCCGTTGGTCAGAGACTATGCGTCTGTATATGGATTGCTTGCCACGAAGGCCTTGCAGCAAATTTGTGATTATCTGCCGCACAGTTGGGAGATAAAGTTCGAGATTATCCGGAGTAGCGTCTTCTGCAAGACATTGCTCCAGAACATTTCGTAGGTCATCGGGGACGCTCATGAGCTCACTTGGAAAGCTGGTCAACGATTACGAGCAAGTGAGAGGATGTGGGACTTACGCCATGTCGATATTGAAGGCCGCAAATGCAGCGACGGCAGCATTGAAGTCGTTCCCCAATCGGACATACACGTCGCTGACAGTGGTCTCGTCAACCTTCAGTTGACTCCATTGTGTGAGCGATTCCAATAATTCTTTGATCGCCACGAGCAGACGAGTCACCGCGGACTCGACTGCAGGCTTCATTTCAAGTCAGCCATGCTGCTTGGGGTAGAAAATGCACTGAGACACACATGGGAGGCACTTCTTGAACTCCCGCGCTCGCTCCGACCTGACGAAGAGTGGGTTGACGATGTCGACTGGTTATTCTCGCGACGAGAAATGGATCCCGCTCCGGGCGCTGGGTTTTCGGGTAATGCTGTCCTATTATAAGACATCGGAGGCAGAGGACAGAGTCAAGGACATGAACTGGTATGAGCACAAGCAGTATTGGAGACGCCCAGTGACCGAATGTGACCAGTCACTTCGGCTCTGTCCACAACGCACTGGCAGATGTTCGTTCCTCACAATGGCCGCCATATCACAGGCCAGACCGTATATCATCACCAACACTGAGCGTCTCAAAAAAGCTCGAAGCCCCGAGACACATTTCCCTCTGGCATGTCGT